TCGCTTCTAGTAACAAGTGCCTTACTAGTAGTAACAAGAAGCTATTAAAATTGCTTTAGATTAATTCTAATAGCTTCTTTGTTACTACTAGTAAGGCACCTGTTACTAGTAGCATGGCACTTGTTACTACTAGAAACAATAAGCTACTAGGAACAACATCACTCCAAGGAGACCCGGCCGCGGCCAATACCGGCCCTAAGAGCGTCCGATCGCTCCGTTCGTAGCGATGCCCTTTGTTACTAGCAAGAATGCTCCTAGTAAGGCCAGGAGCCCCTAGTAGCGTCCTTCAATTGAAACAGTATGAAATATTGATATGTGTCCACTGGGCACTTCCGTCTTGGCTTCTTTTTGCATCCTTTCGGCCTTTCCACCCCACAAAGGCCTTCGTAGCGAGGACCAAGGTGACGCTCCATGAGCCCCAGCAAACCAAGGCACCCAGCGCCATGACGATGCCAACTGCTTTGCTCGTTGGCACCTCGAGGATTGGCCGAGATTGGACGGAGAATGGAGAAAAGGGGATTGAGACAGGTCGGACTTGTCTTTTTTCTTCACCAACACAGCAGGATGTGCAAACAACACAGCTCAAGAGCTGCAGGCCGCCGTAGGCAATACCGGCCATAGTTTCACAGAGATGTCATTTCTCGAGGCGCTCAAAGGTTACACAGCAAACAACCTTCTCACGGTGCCTATGTAGCAAGGGCATCGCTACTAGGAACAAAGGGCATCGCTACTAACGCTACTAGGAGCAAGGATGCTACCCTAGTAGCGTCCTTGCTCCTCGTAGCGATGCCCTTGCTACTACCTTCTCACGGTGCCTATGTCGTAAGTTGCCGGGCTGGTATCTGTACAAAGAAAGGAGAGTGTCCAGCATCTTGATATCTTAGATTGTCTTAGGCTCTTTTGCGGATCAACTGGGACTCTTTTGCGGATCAACTGGGACAAACACAACAACACCATTTATTAATTTATACAATATATATATATATATGTATACTACCAGTTCATTTACTTGACCGCTATTCTTCTGAAACCCTCAACTTCCCTCAAAACAAATCATGGATTCTGATGATTTCTTGTGACTTGACTACCCGCTACAGTACCCGCCCACGGCAACGCTTTAACCCGAGCTGGAAATAATCATGCTGACAAGGCACGAACATGGTCAAAAGGCTATTGCGGCACGGGTGGCCGTTGGTCACGAATAGCAAGGTCACTCTCAAAAACTGGGGCTGATGAGTGCTTACCAACAAAATGTCAACATGTTGAAGCAAGTATGCCTTTATGTTGCAAGCTGCAACGGTGCCATCGAGCTCTTTTTGTGCATGACCCGTGACATTTTGCACGTCCCACTGTCATCAATTGTGTGTCTGCCAAATTGATCGCTTGATCTTTAATTTTGACAGTACTAGTGCTTGCAATCATCTCTGGAGATGAGACAACACTGCTGCAATAATCGCGGCCACTCTATAGTGTAAGCGCCGCACCTGTAAGAAAAACGCATGGAACAACATCTACAGCTTCGCTCCATTGATTGAAGTACCAAGCCCCAAATGGAACTCTCAACTTGCCCCCCCCCCTGGTGCTTCCGCTGCCAAAGCATGTATATGACCACAAGTGGACCTCTTTCCGCCGTGGCTCCCTAGCACGAATAAACAAGTGGACAACCAAATGCAACATTGTTGTCCTTCTGAATAGGTTGTTGCAATGAGGTGTGCTTTTACATCAAGCCACCAGCAGGATGGTTTAGCAGGGTGTTTTAGATCATCAACATTAGCATAACATGCATTAGGAGCAAGGGCATCGCTACTAGTAACAAAGGGCATTACTACTAGTCGCAAGGACGCTACTAGTAGCTCCTGGCCTTACTACTAGGAACAAGAACGTTACTAGTAACAAGTGCATCGCTTCTAGTAACAAGTGCCTTACTAGTAGTAACAAGAAGCTATTAGAAACAAGTGCCTTACTACTAGGAACAAGAACGGGAGCAAGGACTCAAATCGCAACTCGGAGAACCCGTGGTCAAGCCTGGGAGGTGCACCCCGGCGAACTGGCAAAGGTGCTGGCACCGTGGTGCGACTGGAAATACCTGGGCAAACAGATGCAAACAAATGCAAACATGTACAGTAGTAAGTCTTCGCGCAAATGTATGTTTTGTCCATTAGCAAATGTGTTCACAGATTGAGCTACGACGCTTCTACTCTCTCTCTCTCTCTCTTTCTCTCTCTCTGGCGAAAGGCGAAAGTGCCACTTTGAAGATCTGTGAAGCAACTGCTCCGCTCATTTTGTTCTTGGGGTACTCGGTGTAACTAGAACTAGAACAAAAATGGTTCTAAATCACTGCAAAGTTATTCGACCAGTGAACATGCTGATAACAATAGTACGCCGAGCATTTTCAACATCCCAGCTTAGACCATTGCACTTTGGGACTGTACACACTGAGCCAACCACCACTGGGAGCGCGGGAGGCTTCGCTAATCATGGCAGCCTGAGGAGAACGGTGCTCTACTCATCTGAAACCAAAAGAAAGTTGCAACAAATTGAACAACAGTGTACAGACTGAACACTCAAACTGCTGGCGTCAAACTTTCAATCAGTCTTTCAGGTAAAACTATCAACTATATCCGAAATCCAGTCTGAACAGGGAGGCGGCCTATCAAAGGCCGTAGTCAAGTTCCAACGCAGTGTAAGCAAAAGGAAATGCGAAATCTTGCAACTATGCAAGTACCTTTCAAGTCTCCAAGTAGCGAGACCTTCTCACCTATGTTGGCATTTTGCGTGCGTTTTGCATCGTTCTCAACGCCTCAATTGCTTTGATCTCCTCCTGAAGGTCTTCGGCCACATAGACCTCGCATGGCTTGACGTAACGGGTAGTTGCCGGGTAGCTGACAAAGTTGTCTTCACTGGCTATAATTCCTGCACTTTCCAGGTGGTGACTACCGACAGTTGCACCACCTATGTCTTAGTGAACCTGGTTAACATTATGCCCCTGTCTCGAGTATCCTTCTTGTTACTACGTACCTGTAACATTACACAAAGCGTACGAGAGGCCTCTTCTTTAGCTTAGGACCACAACCTACGACAACCAGAAACTGTATCTAGGAGGACCTTATGTGCGCAATTTCAGTTGACTTTAGTAGTGCCAATTTAAAAGTAGCAGGTGGATTCAACAACCCAGCCCGAAAGCTTTGTGAGTTCCATGAAACCATTGAACATTGTATCAGTTCAAGATTCGATTTTGGAAACCGAGCTGCGACAGGGAAAAACGGTTCCAGCTGATCAGGTCCAGAATCCCTTGCTAGTCATGGGTGGATGACAAATGCTTTCGGCAAATCAGGAACGCAAGCAGCAGGACGTTGCCCCGCATAGACCCCATTGATCGCAAGTTGACCGCTCAAACAAAACTGTCATGTTTGTGCAGCAAAGCACAAACAAAATAACGTCCATGGACCCCATGGACATGACGTGACATGACCAACACATGCAAACTTCAAAACTAAACCCAAAACCAAACCACAAGGCCGCCCATCGAAGTGCCTGTGGGACCACTATGGACGAGCAAATCGACTCCCGTGAGAGACCTCTCGTCGCGGCGGTCTTGGCAGAGTTGAAGGTGGCTGCTTCATTACTGATGCCAAAATTGAAAAAGCGATATGAACACCGAACACCCAACAAAGTTATTTCGGAGGTTGGCTTTCAACAGGACCTCAAACAAAAGGCCCTTCTTGGAGCCCCATATACCCACGTGCCGGAATGCTTCCCAACCTCTTCCTTGGTGGCATTGCTCATCTCCCTTCTTTCACTCTACTGGTCTTGCTTCCAGCAGTTTGTGATCATGCTCCGCTCGCCATGCAACGGCGCCTTCTTCCCGTCTTGCCACAGGAGCCTGACATCTGAGATAGCTCTGTGTTTATTCCGTGAAACGCGTCACTTGAGCTTCGGTCCGTGAGGAAATTCAATTATTTATTGTGGGTGAAGGAGCATCCCTTGCTTCGATGCTTGGGAGACTACACCTCGAGAGAGTTGTTTGCTTCGTGATGCTTCGAGTCTAAACAGTGCGTCTATAGCCTCGTCTATAGGGTTCTTGAAAGGCAAACACTTATGTGATTGACTGTGAGCATCAAAAGCCGCAACATGGGCCCACACATAACTTAGATACAAGGATTTCATTGCTGAGCTCCCAGACCTTCATCATGAGCAAATCCTGTGAGGTCCAAGCCTCAAAGCTGATTGCAACTGTGATTTATCGGAGTACCCACCAGAGAGGTTTTTGAGTAAGCATGCAACTGAACGCTGTGAGGTTGGAGGCCATCGCTCTTAGGTTGGATGCAACTGAACACCACCAAGCATGTTCCCCCCAGGTCCTGAGAGGAAATTTGCAATGACATCTCAGAGTCTCAAGGTGAGTTCTCTCCGAGGGCGACCAAGTAAAATACACTGGAAGCAGCAGCCCTAAAAATGAAAATAAATCCAAACAAAAGAATAATAGCTGGGAGGAAAACAATGGCATCTTTGTGATGGATGGTGATGAAACCCAGATCCATTCCCTCCCTGCTCTGAGCGCTGACCATGTCGAATAAAGGGCTTGACCTGCCCAGTGGCGACACCGGCTGGAAGAAATATCTCCATGAAAGCGTTAGGTTTTCCTAAAAATCTAGGAACAAGGCGGCGGGGCGGGGCAGGGAGCTTCCTTGAAGAAGCGTGATCTATTCTGCGTCCAGATAGTAGAAGCTAACTAGTAGCTACAGTAGTAGCTTACTCCGGGAGGGAGGGAGTTCGGCAAAAAAAGGAACCATCGGCAGCTCCAAGGTTCGCACATCTTGTCGCCTGGTTCGACATACATCTCCAGTCTTTGTTTCATCGAACCGTCCCTACCCTCTGACAAAGGCCTTCCATCCATCCATAAGGCTCCACGTTGTAACTGGCCAAACGGGGCAACTGAGTGGCTTGGCAAACCCTATCTTATACCATATTATCAATAGCCCCTAGTAGCATTCTTGTTCCTAGTAGCGATGCCCTTTGCTCCTAGTAGCGTCCTTGCTCCTAGTAGTAAGGCCAGGAGCCCCTAGTAGCGTCTCTTGCTATGCTCTGAAGACCAAGGTCAGGCTTCGCAGGCGACTGTAAGGGCAGGACCCGACGCAGTCTCACGGATAGCACCATCTTCCACATGAGGTCTACAGTGGTAATTTGGATACTGACTTATAAGTCATAAATCGTATAAATATATACTTTACCTATTTGCAAGGGTGTTCAATGCTTCTTCTCGGCCTCGCCCTGCCCTCCAACCCAGAAACTTCTCCTCAGCCGGTCCATGTCCACACCTTTGTGGGGCACACGCTGTACCTGCATCGCGCTGAGCCCCAAAAAGCCAATCAGCAGCTCTTCACCAAAGACATCAAGCTCTCTCTTGCAGTAGTAGTAACAAGAAGCTACTAGTAGCAAAGGGCATTTCTACTAGGAGCAAGGATGCTACTACGGTTACTGTAATCGTAGCTCCTGGCCTACTACTAGAAAGTAACGTCCTCGCAGCACTTGATGACGCATGGCACTTTTGGGCCCAGAATCATGGCATCGTGTTTTGTGAAAGCATGTTTGCGACAACGGAATGCGCCCCCGGATAGCACTTTTTTCAGAACACGAAGAACACTCTAAAGCGTGTGATTGAATAATTGGTTTGTGCCTCTGCACGTTCTGAACCAAATGCTGACTCTACTGCCGAATTTCAAGAAAAGCACCTTCGATGCTTTGCAACAAGAGCCAGTGCAGCACCACAAAGAGCAAGGCTCAGAACCATCAAGCCTGTCCTTTTTGCTTGCTTGGTTCTCCTTTCTTTTTGCAGCACCTTGTCTTTGCTCCATTCATATTCACCGAGTCGTTGTTGAAACATGTTCTCATCAAAGCCCGCGGTCCGCAAAGCACTTACCACTGCGACGTCTCGGATGGAAGGACCAGGGACCTTGGCCCCACTGGTGCAGTTTAGAAATCGCAAATACTCATCCAAAATCAGGTAGGAATCTTTCATTGTCACATTGTTCTCCGCCACAAGGACTTGCTTCACACTGGAACAACGCCTGTGCCGGTCGATGAAGCCTTGGAATGCTTCCGGTGGGATGAGCAGTGGCTCGACGTTGCGCTCCACGTCACCGACATTCTCGCCTTTGATTGGAAGGCATTGAAACACCTTCCACCGGATGGGCTTCAAACGCTCGATGTGAGCAGACATATCCTGACAAGGATTGTAGCATTACCTCTGCCTGCACCCTAAAAGAATCATGATGTACTTCTAACCTCAACATTATTCGTCTTGAGAAGAGTCCTTATTCCCAGTATGATGTGAAGCCCACATTCGGTCCCATTTATGATTATAGTAGAACTTAGCAATCCGAGTGTTGAGTTGGTTTGACCCCTCCCTTGCATCCACCATACGAAAGTCAACACAAGCCCTGACAAGGCCTTGACCGACGCCAAAGACTATACCGCAGTCCTCATTCACATTGTGTTTGGTGATCACGCTGTTGATCTTGAAGAGCACCTCAAAGTCATCGCACCACTGGCGGATGCTCTCCAACTGCTTCACATGCTCACCTCTACCACGGCCAATGAGCACGTTGGTCGCCTCATGGAAGGAGTCACAGGAGATGGCCAAAATGTCGAGAAAGTATCCAAACTCCTCCATCCATTTCGCTGTGATGTGGCTTCCATTTGACACAATGCTCACTGATTCTAGGCGTAACTCTTCCTTGCAAAAGCGCACCAACGTCCCCAAGGCTTTTGCATGAAGGAAGGGTTCCCCACCACTGAAGTTGATCTTTTGCATTCCCGCGTCACGCAGGCGCGCGAGGCATCGCTTAGACTCCTCAAGGCCATCTTTTGTGCTAGGTAAACAAAAGCTGGTCTTTGCGGTGTGAAAGCAGAATTCACAATGGTAGTTGCATTGCCGTGTGAAGTGCCAGTTCACAGATATGGGCACTGACACAGGAGTGAGCTGTCTCCATTGCTCACACTTGGAGATCACAACCTCTTGCACCCGTCTCAGCACTTCTTCCGTGCTGCCGGAGGCATCAATTTCCACCAATCTATCATCTCCAATCTTCAGGACACGATAGATGTCCATCAAGTTGGTAGGAAGCTTTTGGTCCTCCATAAAGAAAGAATAAGAAAGGCATGCAAACGACAGAAAGAACAAAAGAAGGAACAACTAGGAAAAGACTGACAAAGAGAAGGGGAAGTTGACAAGAAGCTACTAGGGGCTCCTGGCCTTACTACTAGGAGCAAGGACGCTACTAGGGGCTCCTGACATCGCTACTAGGAGCAAGAAGCTACTAGTAACAAAGCACTTTTGCGTAACTCCACATTGACTGAACGCTATCAGTCCTCCAACTTCACCTCTTCTGGAGTCATCCCACTGCCATCGGCGGCTCGATGGCGCACGCGTCTGACACGTTGCGCTTCAGGAAGGTGGAGGAGAAGCCAAACCACAGGGCCTGGCATCAAGTCCTGCAAGTCCAAAGGCATTTGCAGTGCCCCTTTCAACTCCTCTGGCATGTCATTTGGCACAACCTGCAGGGAATTGGATTCGAGACTTTGAAAAGGTGTGTACATCATACTCCAACCTACTAGCGATGGCCTCCAACCTACTAGCGATGTGTACATTATGATCTAGACTCTAGACTCAAAGATTTCAACATCATTCAGAACCATGCACGACCCAGCCTGGTGGTCAAGTGCCAATGCATATGCGATAGATGATGGCCAAAAGCGGTCAATCACGACGGGTTTTTCTGAATGCTTCCTGAGACTTAAGGCGCATGCATAGTTTCCAAGCAAATAGAAAGCCCTTCGAATGTGCGACACTTGGCCATCGAAATGTTGCCGGAAGCTGCGCAAACACTCCGGCGGGCTGCTAAGGCAGTTGACATCTCCCAATTCCCTCTGAAGTCCTTCAATGACGGTGGTTTTTCCTGTTCCATCCAATCCCTCCAGTATGATGACGGGGTGAACATTCGTTGTCTCAACACATCTCGGGACTCTCCTGCCTTCCATCATCTCCTGGACAATTGCCACCACCTTCTGTCCCTCACTTCCACCTTTTTGTGACAGCACCTTCATGGCAGCTTCCATGCATGTGTACAGCGCCATGATGAAACGATGAACGGCTTCACGGACCGACGTTCCACAACATGTCCTGCAATGTACGGCAAAGAACATCCGCAAGCGTTCTTTGGTTTGATCAAACAGTACCCTGGAACCCTTTAGACCTTTAGATCATTTTAGATCCATATAAAGCCGTTTTCCAAGGTCTCTTGACACATGCCGATGCTCTCTCAGAATCTCTTGGAGCAATCGCAAATCCAACCAAGCCCGGCTGCGCACTCAGTGACCTTGGCATCAAAGTCCAACTGCGGCACTGGCAACTGGGCAGCTGGTCAAGGCGCCCAGACCAAGTCGGGATGCGTCAACTTTGGCATGGAATTCCCTGAAGCTATTCTCCACTGTCTGAGACTGTTTTCCCGTTTTCCTAAAGCATCCTAAAGCGACATTTGCCACATGGTTTGCTCTGAACATGGTGCATCAAACAACTGGTCGGCATGGTGTAAGTGTGGAATTCCCATATGTTGCAGGTTCTTTGGGAAACACATCCAATCAGGCCACAAGGATAACCTTCAAACATGTCCCAGTCCTACAGGGCCTCTTGAAAATGGGGGTTGCTTATAAACTGTCCTTGAGGTGCGAAGCGCCTCGAAAATCTGACACATCAAACACATGAACTCTGTTTCACAGCAACCAAGGCAACCTCTTGATTGCACGATATTGCATGTAGTATCATGTTATGTATCGTCATGCTCTGCACGTGCACTGGTCGCCTCTGAGGAGGCGTGTGTTACCACCTGACAACGTTCATCGCCTCGGTCGATGGGAGTCTGATCGAGCCCGATGGTCACCGATGGTCTTCCATGGTCGTGTGCCACAAAAATATCTCAACAAAATGTTTCACGATTACAACTCACTCGTAGAAGGTCTTTGCTCCAAGAGAACGCCGTCACCCCCACGTATAGGAAACCTAAGCATCTGTTGGAGAACCGTTGTCTCTGGTTGGAAACCATTTCAAGGAAGTCATCCACCCTCACCAGATCGGGGCCCAAAACCAAGTTCGACTTGCCAAGACACTGCCCAGCTCCTTCTCTGCAACTGCCTCGTGACGCAGCCGGTGAGCCCAGGAAACCTCTGAGCGAAGTCCAACTCAACCGGATGTCCATTGGCATTTTCCCGGCTCTCGATCTGTGGTGTCTTTTTTCATGTGTTTAAGCTCCAAGTTCCAGGTCAAGAGCTTGGATAAAACACCAAGCCGTTTTGATACACGGTCAGACCCAGCAGTGCTTAGCCGCTTAGTAGTTGCCGAGCGTGCCTTGATGTTGACCGTCTTTGGACGTCTGGTCGGCACCTGTGGCTTCGTGATGCTTGTAGTAACAAGTGCATCGCTAGTAGTAACAAGTGCCTTACTAGTAGTAACAAGAAGCTAGTAGAAACAATAAATAGCTACTGCGTCCTTGCTTCGTGCGTCCTTGCTCCACCGAGTAGCGTCCTTGTTCCCGGCGAACAAATGGAAGACAATTCTTGGGTCGTTCCTTGGATGCCTTGCTTCAACAAAAGTGACAATGCCAAGAAGAGGAGAATCATTTGAAATGTTGTGTCTCAAAGAGTTCATGACAGGGAGTTGAACGGCTGGTGGAGCAAACGAGCAAACTGGTTGGTCTTTCGAATTGAAACTTCTTTCAAAGTTATGGAGCCAAGATCTGAGTCAATCATAAACATAGTAATTAGAAACATGACCAGCAACAAAACCTGAAATGATCTCTTTGCATCTGGTGATATTTGCCAATGGAAATTTCATTGCCCACCTTGCCCCCTAGAACCCCCGACGAAGTGACCTCCGGGTATGTCGCTCTGCCCTACTTAAATACGATCTTAATCGCAGGCTCTCCTGGCCAAGCCAAGCCATGCTGGGTCGTGTTTGCCCGCCGTTTCAAAGGCTCCCCACCATGCTCGGACTCCATCCATTGGCAAACTCAAGTAAAGCTGCGAGGAACACAATGCAGGTCCCAGATTGTCCCCCCAGAAGCTTTGACATTCGTGGAATCACAAAACATCACAAGACATAGTACTCCGACCTTTGCCAAAGTATTTGAGGGACCCGGTCGTTGCAGTTGTCTCGGCTGGTCGGGAGTATTTCTGGCCTGATTAGATGGAGCTCTGTTCAATTCGTGGGGAACAAAGTTCGATCAAACTTCAAGTATATACCCCTTCAGTATCCTTCAGTACCTTTCGCATCTGCACTTGGCAAAACACCGTGTCAAACTATCGAACTGGAGCCAAGAAGTGGCGTGGATACGCTTGAACTGTTGGACCGTATCCATTGACGCATTCATGCACATGATGTATATTCAACTGTGTCATCTTTCTACCGACAGCCAAATGTGAGACACATGTCATGCACATGAACTCAGAAGATTCCTTACATCGACCGAGCATTTTTTGCTGCAAGAACGCTCACCGCAGGAGTCGTCAAAATCATCTGTACTGCAGCAGTCATTGAAATCAATCTGTCTATCATGCCTACTTTGGCGTCCTTTCCCCAGTGCCTTTGCTGGGGTACCCGGATCAATTTTTCGCATGAAACCAATGGCTTGGGGCGCCATCACGGCCACGGCGTGCCACGTGCGTGTCACGACTCTACTCGCGGGGCGCCCAGTTGGGAGGTGGCGACCGCGAGCGCGAGGGCAAACGCACCGGCGGCGTGCGGAGCGCTGCGATGCCCACCTGTGGGACGCCGCCTGTACCATGCAAGCGACGCAAGCGTTGCAAGCGACAGGGATTTGTTGAAGCGTTTTTAGGGATGTGAAACACGTGAAACCTATGAAGATTTCTTGAGGTTTACTGTATTTCTCAAGATACCAATTTCACATCTTGTGGCCCAATGAGTATCTTTGGAGATGACACTCAATGCGGTTCGACAAATCTGCTGCTCTGGGACTTGCCTTTGTTTTTCGGCGGCTCTGGCAAGTCGAGATCCTCGTCATTTAGCCTTAACAGGCGGCTCGACAACATAATCCCTGTCCCTCCTCTACAGCCAACCAAACTGGTGTGGTGCATATAGTTCGATTATGTTCGATTATTGTCCTGTGCATCTGTAAAAACACTTCAATATGGATTGTATCTGGCGACCAGAACCTTGACTGCAACAACTAGTGACTAGTGGCTCAAGCTATGATTTGTTGATGAAATTGCCTTAATTAATCTTTCCATGTCATCCCAAAACGCACATCGTTTCCAGCCACAAGTGAAACATGAATTACATTTTAATAAATATATAATGACCAGGTCATGACCTCTTACATGTAGTGGAGTATGGCCTCCAATGGATAGTGGACTCATATCAAAATCGAGCAATTGGGCTAAAGTTAAGTTTCCCAAAACATCTAGGAACCAAATCATTAGTGCGAGCGTGAGCTATCCTGCGTCCAGTGACTAGAAGCTAACTAGTCGCCCTTACTTGATTAAGTAGGCTCCTACTTCACTAGATAAGTCATTAAGTAAGGAGGCAGGGGCACCGGATAAAGATAGGAACTAAAGAACTTTGGCGCCAAGCAGGTGCCACGGCCTTCTTGACAGGTCCAAGTCGCCAAAAGCCACGATACTGAGACCAATTTAACCAAGGTAGCCTCGGAGGACGAGCGCCTGCGAAGGTTCTGGAAGACCTGCTCTATTTGTTTAATGAAATCCACTTGCAGCATTAAGCAGTAGAGCCTTCCAAGACTCTACACAAAGATACACAAAGTATCCCAGGAAGGGAAAATGACATGGTGGGGACGACAAAGGAAAGACCTTACAGTGCACAGTGTACGTCCCTACTTCGCTGGCATGACAAGCAGTCTTCAAGATGAACCATGTTTTCCGCAAACTTCGGAAGTCTCATCATAGATGTAGCAACCTGATGATGAACTTTTTCATGGCACGTCTTTGATTTGTGCAATGGAGATTACCATTGCTGCACTATTGACTCCAACCATACAAGTACCCTCGGAGTGCCCATTCTGGTTTTCCCCAGTTCCTCCTGTCCCTTTGCCCATTCGCCCTTCTTTGTCCAATCTGCCGACTAACATTCAGTGCCGAAGGCACAGTTGGCAGCGGATTCTAACTCAGAACCGCGAACTGCCATCGACCCGGACCGACTGCGTTCAAATCCTTTGGTTATTTTCCGACTGCAACGAGACATGAGGACAACATGAGGTGAAGAAGACAGAATACAAACAATATGAATCATAATATCCATTTCAGGAGTCGAAGAGTTAGCTACTCAAATCATTGACGTTCAATTTATGGGTCGAGGTCGTTCTAGCAATTTCTGGTTGATCTGCTTCAAACCTTCGATCGACGTAGTCACTGGGCACCATCTGATGCTGGGCTGCCTCTTCGAGCACCTAGCATCATCTAGCATCCACCGGCATGGCGTTTGGCGACTACCAACCTGGGAGCAGCGATATAACAAGGTGTAACGAGTACAGCTGCTCATTGGCAGCACCTGTCAAGGCTGTTTACGAGGAAAAGAAGACGCACACCTATTGTTTCCAGTTTGTTTGGTCGAGGAGCATTTGCAACTTGGAGATTCACTGCGTGCAACGACCGCAGTTGGTTTATGCGCGAACACTATATATCGGATAATATCGGATATGATATGGTCCATCAACAGTGAAAACCGTACAAAGAACACAGAAAGAATGCCCAGCAAATCCTGCGAGACGATTGGAAGGAGCGTCGGTAACATTCCGCCATGTAGTCTCCGCACATGGAATCCAAAGCCTCTCATTGACACGAAGCCTGACTACTGGGACCGGCAAAAAATGCATCTATGACATGTCCCAATAGTTTCGAAAGATGCGTTTTCTGAGGAATCCTCTGGGATTGGCCAGTCAAATGTCTCTTGCAAACAATCGTTCGCTTGCAAAGTATAGGATGCCTGTAGGACCTCTCATTGTCTCATCCAAAGTCCTCAGGAACATGGAGTTTTACGGCTCAGCCTGGGCATCCTCCACCAGCAGCCGTCGGATTTCGGTGGAGGACATGCTGTTGGCCCGTACGCTGGGAAGGACGAAAGGATCATCTTCGAGACCGTGATCCTTTACTCGATCTTCACCCATCACCTAGGCAAGGAGCCCCTAGTAGCTTCTTGCTCTTAGTAGTAAGGCCAGGAGCCTGTAGTAGCTTCTTGCTACTAGTAGTAAGGCCAGGAGCCCCTAGAAGCTTCTTCCTCCTAGTAGCACTCCTAGGAGTAAGGCCAGGAGCCCCTGATAACTTCTTGCTCCTAGTAGTAAGGCTCCTGTTCTTGTTCCTAGTAGTAAGGCCAGGAGCCCCTAGAAGCTTCTTCCTCCTAGTAGTAAGGCCAGGAGCTAGTAACTTCTTGCTCCTAGTAGTAAGGCCAGGAACCCCTTGTAGCTTCTTGCTCCTAGTAGTAAGGCCAGGAGCCCGTAGAAGCTTCTTCCTCCTAGTAGTAAGGCCAGGAGCCCCTAGTAGCTTCTTGCTCCTAGGAGTAAGGCCAGGAGCCCCTAGAAGCTTCTTCCTCCTAGTAGTAAGGCAAAACGATGCATGGCAGGACTCCAAAAACGACTTAAGACCTCGCTGAAAGCTCAAAATAGTGTCAGCTGGGGATGAAAACTTCTATAGGTGCACCTAGATGACGGGAAGCCAATTTCAAAGGCAAAACACAGGGAGACTTGACAACAAAGCAAAGCACAAGGAGCTTTGCTAATCTCACCCACAATTCCGAGCGCAACCCACAATCTTATCCCGGCCTATTTTGCAAGACGGTAGCTGATGCTGCAAGCACTTCAAACAATCAAGTTATGGCTAGTAAGAGATGAATCACATCTCATAGCTCATAGCCTAGCTGGATGAAATCCATTGGAATTCCTGAATGTTTGTTTGGGTGATACCATAGTATGAAGCAATGCATGGAACCTCTTGCGTTCACATCCCAAGCGTCTCTGAAGACCTCGCAGCCAAGAGCTTCCTGGTTGAGAGCAATGAATGGCTGAAGGAGATATAGACACTCACCACAATAAATGCCCCCTAACAACTGTTAAACAACAAAGCACACAAATGTGCAATGGCCGAAGAGCGCCATCTCGGCATCTGGCTCTCCCAACACCCGCATCTATTGACTCTAAAAAATACGTCGATGTATCCCAATTGCAACACCTAATTACACCCTTACAACTACTGCCTTCCTTTCATCCCTTCATCCCTACTCCATCACCAAACGCTTCCAAGTCTCAAAGGCCCGGTCCGTGGCGACCCGGATCTCCCGGGCGTCGCCCGTGAAGTGTCGCCAGTGACCATCGAAGACCACGTCGTGAGCACCGTTGCAGCGGAGGAGCGACTGGAAGAGCTTCACACGCTCCGCATAGGGAAAAAGGAAACTGCCTGAGACAGGAAGCTTTAAAACGATTCCAACGTTGAATAGAAGGTTACGAAGGTTCTAAGACTGTGATTGGAACACCTTAAATCCGCTGACATGGGGCCACCCTTCATGGTTGATAAAGACTTATTGCTTCGTCCGCATCTGCGGCATGTTATGCTTATAGTTATAGGTCTGAAGCGCTTGTTGTACTAGAAGATGAGCTCGTCTTGCGATACATGCAAGGAATTATGCTACTGTCACAAACGGCTCAATGTTCATCCTGTCAAAAGATCGAAATGAACGTTCATAGACTGAACGAGTAGGCCATAGTAGGCCTCTAGAGCCTCAAAGCCCTTCTTGCCCTTATCATATCCCCATGGGTCCAAGCATCCTGCGCACGAATGCTTCTAAGAAAATGTGCCCCCTTTAGCTTAAAAAAAACAAAGTTCAACAAACTTGGCAAATGTGATGTCTTCTTCTATTTTTCTCCAAAATCGAATCTTCGGATTGCCAGTAGCCCGCCTGCGGCCTTCATCTTCTCTGCGAGCCGCTCATCGCTCTTGGGCGCCACCAGGACAATTGGTGCCTGAATCCGACTCGACTCAAAGCACCCGGAGCACACTGGAGAAACTTGCTGGTTTTCCAATTACACATGGATCTAGAGATAAAGCCATCCACGAGTAATGGAATGATATTTCCACTTCGTTGCTTCAATCTGACCCCTGTAGTCTTCGTAAGTGACCCTGCTGAGGGCAAGTGACCTCAAACTGGGGTTCCAACAAGTCACTTTTGTTTTGTGGTCTATATCAATTCTGGGAGTATAACACATCATATATAGGATTATATGTATATGTGTGCTGTTGACAGAGAGACTCCAACTGCGCTGAGAGAAGTACACCATAATTAATGTTGTTCTGCATGGAACGAGCTGTCAGGAGTTTGTATACTAAGAACATGTCATGTGACTTGCAAGGAGGAACCTCTCATGTATCATATTTGACTTGCGCAAAATCGGTTCTTGCATCACTATTTCAACGCATTAATTAACCCATTCACCTCCGAAAAGATTGAAATCGGTATATGTCGATTGCCGGCCTCTCGGTGTTTCTTCGCCACCTGTCTCTTCGCCTCGTTGATGGCCTCCAAATGTCCCGCGTGCGCCGGGTTGAAGCTCCCTGCAAAGTAGAGCACTGGAGATCGGCTCCTTCGGGCCAAAAGCTCCAGCAACGCCGGCGGAACCGTGTAGGACATCGAGAGTTGGAAGTGCCAAAGGCACTGCCAGAGGCAAAATCCCAAGGCCAAACGAGCGGCAAAGCTCATCCGGTCGTCTCTCGGACGAATTTCCAGATCGAGCTGGGCCAACGGCAGCAGAAATGGAAGTTCAAGCCACATTCCACCCATCACACCAAAAGCAAACACATGCAACAACAACACTGGCCACAAACATCAAATTTGGGAGGTTGTATCTTCGGAGACTTGTACAGTTCAACCCACAGGCCCAAGGTGGCGAGAAGCCTGAAATAACATGGAAGGATTTGGATCGAAGAACGCTCAAAGCTTCAAGTCACTGGTTCAAGGCATGCCCATGTCCAGAAGCCAAAAAAGACAGCTGGTAGACCAACTTGCAGTCTCAAAGATGGCCAAAAGTGGCCCCAATCGTTCCTGGTGCCCATGCCACCTCCTTTCTTACCCGTCCGACCAGTTCTATCGCCAAAGGGCCAAGAGTGCTTATCTCGTGCCAATGTGCGTGGGTTGCACACAACCAGTAGAGCATACCTGGTCAAACAGGTGCTCCGTGCAGTCGCTTATAAATGTCATGTCTAAAGTCCATAGTGTGTTTCATGATTCTGGCTAGTGGCTAGGCCACTGACAGGTATCTGCACCTTTGTCCCAGTTGTTTTGGTATCACAACTTCGATGTGTTCTGTGTTTCTTTGTTCCTTCATGTCTCACAAAGAACACTCTCACAACAGACCCCGTTTCACCACATCAGTCGCCAAAGGGCTTGGCACGTGTCATGGCGACATTCACACGGCGCCAGTCTCGCACAAAGCCCGTGGTGTTCTGCTCGTTGGATCGAACTGTACTGATCATGATGACCTACGGAATGATCACGAGGAACGATATGTGGATGACCGGACTGGTCTGGAATGTGACAGATCCTTGTGCCTTTGAACCATCCTTTTGAATCTTTCTGGCGACAATTTGGGTGGTTTCACAAAGCGCTTGCAAGGGATACTACGCTGGTGAACTTCTGATCGCAGCTTCTGTGGCAAAAGTCCCAAAGTTGATAATCCACCAAACGGACCACACGCTCGTCTGGCTTCACATGTTTGGGATCCCGAAGGCAAGGAGCAGCTCGCTTTTAGCAAACTAATTGAACACAGTAGAAACACGTGCTACATTCTTTCACAAAAACACAGGATCCAAAAAGGCAACAGAACCCAAACACAGATCAGTTCACATCTTCCAGTGTCAATACTGCATCAGCTTGAACTTTGGTTTGCTGCTCCTGTGATCGACCAAATTTGCTTTGAGATACCACACGATACTCACATTGTCTCCAGGACACCCTACGGCTCACACATGGTCTGGGCGGCTGTGCCAAAATCAGTGAACCGGAATGACATGCCCCCAACAGTGCAAGTGGAACAAAAGACGTGGACACCTCCCTATTGGTATGGACTGTGGGAAGGAAGTAGAACAATTCCAGCAGCGCCCCCACAACCATTCAACCTGTCTTGGCTTGGCTTCTAAAAGGAAGAGAAGGAAGAAAGACAGCTCCAAAGGTCCAAAGGAAAAACAATACTTAATTCTACTAGTAACAAGTGCATCGCTTCTAGTAACAAGTGCCTTACTAGTAGTAACAAGAAGCTATTAGAAGTAATTACACTTAATTACACTATTGTTTCCAATTAAATTCTAAGTCAAAGAAACGATCCTACTTTGTACAATTGGTCAGGCCGCTGGAGCCGCAGCAAGTCCGCTGGCCTCCTTCTCACGTCCTTGGAAGCCATCCACAGAATTCACCTCGACGCCTGCGATCGGCAAATCAGCAAGGTGTTGCCAGGATTGCAAGTTTGGTGTTGCCCTCTTGGCAGGTGTGCATAAATGTGAACAACATGTGCATCCCAAAGACAAACCATTTGGGACAACCGCGCCTTGAAGCCCGGTCTTGATATGCCGGCTCTTGAGCATACGCCGCAAAAGCTTCACCTGCGACGTCGCACACGGAGACGTGACGTGAATTCAATGGTGCTGGTTTGTGTTGAGCTTGTGCAAGCTCTTGCTAGGCTGTTCGACTCAATCACACAGACGTACAATGACAAATGCCGGCGAAGGTCTGGCAAGTAGACTGCCAGACCGCGCTGGCAGAGCTACCAAGCCTGCGAGTCGTAGGGACTGATCACGCCGATGCTCTCCTCGCTGCCACCATTTTCCAAGTAGTCCTCCAAGTGCTTCACCTTGATCGCCAATTCAAACTCGCTCTATGCGCAATTGGCGGCCTATCGGCCGTGGTGTTGGAGATTCTTGGAGGGTCAGCCGCAACATGCTAATTCGATGATGTTACGAAAAAGAAAACTAAAACAGCTCTGATTTGGAAACTCAAAGAACTGTCGCTTCGGTTTCTTTTTGTCCGAACATGTCAGTGATCTTCTAGTGGAATGCGCGATGTAGGCCCTTAGGATTCAGTCACACTAAATCATGGTGATTGGAGACATCTCCAGAATACCGTCACAAACCAGTCTTCAGAAGAGATTTTCCCGGTGGTAACATGTAGAAACTGTACCCTAGTAGCGCTAGTAGCGATGGCGTCCTACTAGTAGCGTCCTTGCTACTAGATCTACTAGTAACAAGAAGCGGATGGCCTCAAGCACCAAGGAACCAGGACCTCAGCCTCCCCCTCGTTCATGTGACTTGTACCTTTGGGCGACTCCTGGTCGAAGACCGGTACGACCACCAGGTTGTGCTTGTACTTCCAGCTGGGAGGCTTCTCAACCTGGGCGGACTTCGCCCATTTGGCAGTTGGATGGGGAGGATGCGACTGGGTTTCAGGATGGCCTCAGATATTCTCCTAAAACTCGGGGAGTGGGAGGGCTTTGGCAAGGAAGAAGACCTCACAAGGGACTTACCTGCATCCTAGGAGCATTGTTCAATGTTTTGAATACAATGAGTCATTACACCATACTCAACATACATCAGGTGATGTTTGGCTTGCTTCCGGCGTCAGTAGGGTCCGACTTGGCCTTAGGCTGAGTGGCTGGAGTTTGCATGATTGCATCCAAGAGCTTCCCTTCATAGAAGGCTTGTGATGGAAAGGCCGACAGCAACGGGTGCATCCGATACCTCAGAAGTCTGGTCTGATGCTGAAGCCGAGAAGCTGTTCGCTTTGGAGGCCCTTGATCCCATATCTGTGTGATTGCATCTATACAACTCTAACTATTGTTTGCATCCTCCTCTGTGGCACTTAGAGTTCAAGGTTTGGATCTTTACTTTCTGAGTGTCAAACCTTGATCCGGATCAACATAAATTCATTTGAAACCAAGTCAAGGCTCGTCAGCCTGTGGTATCAAAACTCAGGGACAAGGCACTGCACGTTCAGCATTACGGGCTTGACCCCAGTGAGTGCCAAACGCTCAAACAACGACATCTTCAGCACTTCCTCAATTGTTCAGTGTGAATCATATCACAAAGATAAAATGCGGAATATGGAACACCAATCCCAACAAAAGGAAAACTCAAAAATATCTCAATCTCAGCATCCGAATGCTCCTTCTCGCTCTTGACAGTTGGGGGCAGTTGACAGTGATCTCCACCTCAGCAGAAAGTCTGGCTGAAAGGCATGCGAACAGCTCTGCAAAGAACTTACCGAAAGAACCTGAGGTGCCCAGAAACTGGTGATTGATGAAGTGTGGCTGTAGCATTCGGTAGCAAGTGTGTGCTCTGCAAGGGCGATTTGTGATCATCGCTTGTGATATGGGCCTCTTCCTTGTGAGGCAGTGGCAATTTGCCGTGATGTGTGTGGTTGGAAACGCGTCTAATCTGCAATCATCTTGGTGTCGGCGTGATTCGTGGTGGTGATCCCAGCATGCGGACGAACCGATCAAACAAGCTCTCTCAATTCTTTCAGAGGATGCCAGTTGAACAAACCAAAAGAAAGAAAGGACCGGGTAGCGGGGTTTGACATCCATCGCTATATGTTCAGTCAAACTTAAGCGTATATAAGTATAATGTGCATAATGTTGAGGGCAAGCGATCATCCTGCCAATGCTACTCTGTTGAACAGTCACGTCACACAACACGATTGTTCCCCAACATTTACCCCGAAGCGAACAAGTTCACTCATCTGTGGCATCTGCGAGGATTTCAAAGGATTTGGGGCCCCTCATGGCCCCACCAAAACACACGTCAGCTCCAAGGCACAAAGGACCAGCTGCTTGCAGCCGTGACAAATCGGAACCAATGTGGCTGGCTCCGTGGCTTGCGAAGCTTCATCAATCAGGACCTCATCTTAAGGGTTACTTGTAGCGTCCTTGCTACTAGTAATGGCCTCCAACCTAATAGCGATGGCCTCCACCTAGTAGCTTCTTGATACTAGTAGCGTCCTTGAGCTGCACCGCGAGGTCCCTCTATCGAGCTGATGCAGATTCAATACTCAAATGCCGAGGCATTACCATACAGGGGTCGTATGATGTCGTATGTGCTTTCTGCGTGAGTGGTCATCAGCTCAGATTTTGTGATGAAAACATGGCAAAGGCTTTCCTTTACTTGGACAAGATCTTTCTGATGTGCCCACGTCCGAATGGAACTACGAAACAAGGCTTGCAAAGGAGCCTCAAAACTCCTCAAACAGTGGGGCTGGGATGCGAAACCTCTCCAACCTATGAGAGGACCAGCAAAGGGAGCGGGCAGGGAGCGGGTCTGTGCCTTCTCAATTGGTCTTACACGGTGCACGCGGAGATCTGGTTGTGACTCCGGTTCGTTCGGTCCAAACAGTGCTGGAGCCTTCGAGGGTGCTGGGTTCGTTCAAAACCAGTACACATCCGAAACAGCAAGCCGCTGGGTTAAGCAATGCGGGCTCAGCGCGCTCAAAGCCGTCACAGCCGTGCGGCATGAGCTTGAGGAGCACGCGGCTTGTGAGGCGGATGAGGGCAACAGAATCAGCGCTGTGACCAATGGTTGGAACTTGGGTGGGGTGGCTGGATCATGGAGCGGCGTGATGCCCCTTCACAAGCGCTCATGATGCTGGCACAGCACTGGACTGTATTGGTGGCTTAGGCATCTGGGGCAGCTGTGTACAGTTGGTCGCCGGGTCCCATTTCATCAACACCCTGACTGAAACGCTGATCTTGAATTGTCAAGGCTGCAAATGTGTCGGTGGCGGTGTGGGCAAAGCACGGTAGCAACAGGTTCAGAAAGGATAACAGATTATAATAACGTCCTTGCTCCTAGTAGCAATGCCCTTTGTTCCTAGTAGCTTCCTTGTTCGTAGTAGTACGACCAGGAGCCCCTAGTAGCATCCTTGCTCCTAAGATGGGTGTGTTGTGACTTTCGATGCCATGATGTGTGGATATAGTGTGGTGTGCGGGTGCACAAGGAAAGAACATTGCCACACCCCAGGACTGGCATAGACAAGCCAAGAAGCCAAAGGGAAGTAGATATCCCTCAACAGTCCACCGCCAGCGGTCACTGCTGTGCAACAAACCACTTGTGCTTCCAGTATCGCTTGATGCAAGGCTTGGCGCCGCTGATGGAAACCTGAATCCCAGCAAACGCCAAAGACATCTGGTGCTTCCAGTGCTCAGGGATTGAAACCAAACAACCATCACTCTGTCGGAAGAACCAACAGTAACCTGCTCAAACACGTCGTCAACCCACCTATGGTCACTCACTGCAGATTCAAATCTGGCACTCACTGCTCCTCGCTTGCGACTAAGTGACTTGGGACCTCTGCGAGGCTTGAGACCCCGAGCATCTTCGCGGCCACGTTCTCCACGGCGCTCGCCGCCAGCTCTGGTCGAGTGCTCTCCGGGCGGCCGATGCCTCGGCAGGGCTTGAGGCTTGAGGTGGGAACACAAACAAGGCTGTCATAGATGCTTTCGCAATTCACCTGTCTTCCCTAATTCTATGTTTAAGACATATTTGACAGAGCAAGGAAGACTTGCACAAGATCAGGACAAATAGTTCACCAAGAACATCTTGTGCACCCCCTCTCATCACCGCAGTGTAGGAGGTATACACGCGTCAAACTCTATGATGTGTACCTGCATAGCGTTATCGCTAACAAGTCCGAGTCCATGAACCACTAGTAGCTTCTTGTTACTACTAGTAAGGCACCTGTTACTACTAGCGTGGCACTTGTTTCTAATAGCTTCTTGTTACTACTTGAGTCCATGAACCTCCGTCTGAAAAATGCAAGTTACGGACCGTCCGTCCAAGTTACGGACCACCTTCACATTCTCCTTCAGCAAGCCTTCTACCAAATTGTCCACGGCAATGTTGGAGCCACTTGTGGCCAAGATTCCTGAGAAGCCCGGGCTCGATCAATTTCACAGAATCACACTCCGAAGAACTTGACTTTCTACTCAATTGACGGAAACCCAAGCTTTACATATAGTGATTGGGCTATCCTTCGATACGAAGAGAGCTGAGTAAAACATCCTCCACCAAAGCAAGTTTCTATGTCAGGAAATGAAAGTAGTCATGAACATCCTGTGATGAGAAACTGGTGTTGTTCAAGAACGTCTCTAGTGTGTCCTAGACATGTATCTTCCAACTCTTGGCAAGTAGGTCAATGGCCAAAAGGATCCATTGCTCGGTCCACCTCCGACATTCCTCCGGATATTTCACCAGCGGCACTTGAGTCATTTTCACCCATGGTTTTAGTCTCTAGAGTGGGAAGTCCTCAGCCATCAGGCATCTTTGTCACATTGTTGACACCCTTTTTGTCATCTTTGGAGAAAAAAGATGGACCCACATCTGTTTTCCACACATCTATTCCATCTTCTTCGGAGACATCGAAGGGTCATGTGGATCACGAAGCCTCCCAACATGTGCAGGTCATCAAAGCAAGGCACGACAGCTCTTGTTTGGCCGCTTAAAGGTCATGGCCCAGCGCCGTAGGATCTGCACGCAGGTGGTGGTCTTCCCAGTGCCTCAACCAGCCAATGCAAGGCAATGCAAGGCAATGCAAGGCAATGCAAGGTTGCGATGATGAGGTTTCGGTGGTCTGAAAAGGGGTGGGACGTTGCCTGGCTTTGTTGTAGATATTCAAATACAGCGTTGTGACCAATTGGAATGTCCAAGATCATTTGCAGGTGTGGCACCGTCAAGAAAGCTGTTTTTCCTGGTCAATTAGGTCGATGAACATCCATGTGACAGGAACCGGATGCTTCTGACTCGAAATCTTTGTCTTTGGCAATCAGAGATGCCTTCGCCCTGCAACCAGCGGTAAACGTCTGTGCAAGTGCAACTTTGCTGCTTTTGGGGTCCAGGGGCTGTTGGGTTTGTCCGAGACCTAAGGAGTTCCGCTCTCGGCTCTCGTGCAAGGTGTTCTGCGTCTGTTTGTCCAAGACACCTGGGGGTCCCTGGATCAACGTCAAGGTGTTCTCCGCCGCTGACTCCAGTGCTTTGAGCTGACTGTCGTTCAAGGTCCTCGAAGGGTCCACATCCTTGGAGAAGTGTCCACAGAAAAAGGTCCCGCTAGACAAGGACAAACATGACTTGGATTGGAGAAATTATAAAACCGTTTTCCAATCGACCTACTGTATGTGTGAGGGTTGTATTGCAAGGAAGTGCACAAAGCACATTTCTTAAGTGCATCATTGATTGGTTGAGATCACGAGGTGCTGAATCATGAGCCGATGGCATCTATGTACCCATTGGGTGCTCCGTGCACTTCATAGCCAGCAGGCGTCGACCCCCCTGATGGCTCTGCAAGTATCAGAAGATCTGTGCACATACGTAGCCCTACAAGTGCCTAAGAGGGCTGCTGACAAAATCCACAAGGCTTGAATAACTGCCTCAGCTCACGGTCTGTCTGTGATATTTGGTGAAACTCTAGAATATTGAAGCAAAGCGGCGAGGGCACCATCCTTTAGCAAATGGGGTTCTTCCTGCGCCCACCAGTAGCGGTCTTCGTCGGTAGGCCCAAAGGGCATCAGCAATTTCTTCAGCATCAGAGATGGCGCGAACTTCGAGGGTAAACGATCAATGACTTGAGCATCCTCCTGCACTCTTTAGATGGATTCACGGAAGCCAAAGACTTGAAACGTTGATTTGTAGATGTCTAAATTTGAACGCCCCATGCAAGCTACAAAAAAGAGACTATCCAGAGTGAGTTGCTTATTACATCTTATTACCCTCCAAAAAAGTGCTTCGAGAAGTAAAAGCAACTTCAACGTTCAATATAGGCCTGGACCCCATTGAAAAAACAGGTGATCGTGGGAGTCCTGTTGCTTCCATAGCTTTAACGAACTGAACGAACAAACTGAACAAGAATAATTGTGTACCGTTTCTTATCGCCCATGTTACTGTCAAATCATTGAACAGCGTCGTCGCCGTAGCCTGCCGGCATCTGGCAATGCTACTGGCTATGGCCTCAAAATACTTTGCACGACAAGAATGAACCAATGCCACAAGGCCACGAGTGATGCCTCATGCTATCAAGTGCTTCGAGTGCTGGGGACTTGGGGTCTTCTGTTTGGTGAAGTTCTGAATTCACCACCTTCAAGTAGATGCATACAATCAATGATTAATTTTACACTATATATATATATTCATGCAAAATTGAAGAGTTTGACCCTGTCCTTCTTTTGCTTCTTGCCTCCAGGCCGATCTGGTTCAGTGAGACCTGGGATAATTTGCCGCAACTTGTCAGCAAGACTGGACAATGTGATCACAAGAATGACCGATTGGCCCATAGTCCCTGACAACCGTCAATAAGTTTCATCCCCTAAAATCTATTCCTGAGTTTTTGGTAGACAAACGATGTTGACCTTCCCTCCTAATGGACGGAATCATACAAACCTTCAAACCTTGAAGCACCCCTGAATACCCAATCCTCCAATGAGGTCCAATGCTTCCCAGAATCTTGTCCATCAACCCTTGCAATGTCTGAGGGCTACACACACAACAGTTCTCTGCTAGAAAGGTCCTAAAAGTGGACCGGGTGGCAAAGGAAATCCACTAAATGCTTCTGGAACCTGCTTTGCACCTGTGCCGAGATGCAGTGCAAAGCACAAAGCGTTCTGACAAAGGTCGTGCGCGGTGCCAGTTTGTCAATTCGCGCCGGTTCGCCGGCTCGCACAGACCGGAAGATGGGGTTCTTTTCGTCGCCGCAAAGCACCAAGGGATTCATGTTGACGATGGAGCATTCGCAGAAGGTTCCTGGAGAACTTAAAATGATGTGACTGATTATGTTCCACCTAGCTCCTAAGTTTGATGGCTTATTTTTTAATGGTTGCTCCCCTTTCAGTACAGTCTGGGCCAACAGCAATCAATGACTTTGCGTGCGCATAGAAGGCCCTCCCAAAGACCAATCATATTTTCACAAGCTTGAGGGGATCTTGGAAACCATGGTCAAGTTGAAGCTCTTGCGTGTGTGTGTGTGTGTGTCCAATCCTGTTTCCAAGGACACTACTCTAGTTCTCGTTCTAACCTACCCTACGAATCTTCCAACCACTGTACAGTAGCAGGGGGCACGGCGGCCGTTCACCTAGCCGTGCTAACAAAGCTATGGTGTTCGGTTGGAAGAGATACTGGACGCAGTATCTTGTACCTGCAATTTTTAATTTTCACTCATTGATGCTTCTAAGTCAGTTCAACGCTGTCTCATACGTTGATTTTGCAATAAAGTGCTAATGCTCTCGGCTAATGCTGTACCTAAATGTAAAGGGCTAATGCACACCGCGAAGCAGCCTGAAATCACGCTCCACGGAGCAACCTTCTCAAGTGTGTTTTCGCAGCTTCTTCCCACTGTGGTAAGCTGTGTGATCCCTACGGGGCGCCGTTACCGCAAGAACCTTCTCACTCCTCACCGAGGGAGTAAGTTTCCTGAATTTTCTCTGAAGTTCCTTTGACTGAATTTTACCTGCTCGAAATCAGCTTGGATCGTCTCACCCCGCACATGTGAAGATTTCTGCAGAGTTCACTGAAATCCTTTCTGAATCTCACTGCAGAGTTAACTGAAAATGTTTCACCCGGAAATCCATTCCTTTCAAATCCTTTTAACTTTTCAAGTTTTAATTCAATTTTCCAGAGTTTAATTGCGGTCAGTAAATACACTGCACAACTTTTTCGACCTCACGGACCTCTATTTATTTTCATACATACATACATATTTTGACTGTCTTTGACTTGCCGAGCAGCCATGACGTATCCCTGGCCCTATTCCCTACCGCCACACATCCATCAACAACCACAACCTACACAACCCCATTGGATTCAATACCCACCACAGGCTCCACCACAACCATTTCCAACGCTGCCACCGACTCCACCACAACACCCAACCTCACATCATTATCCATTTCCCACTCCACCTCCACCTCATGCTCAATACATCCAACCACATCAATTACAGGCACATTTTCCAGTACAACCCACGGTTCCTTTCGACACTACCCAACTTGCGCAACAACATCCGCATCTCACAATACAACCACCACAATCCCAAGCTCACACACATCCCACATTGCCACTTCAATCTCAACCTCAACCACCACCTCTGCCTCCTCAACCACATCTATCACATCAACTACATCCATCACCACACACGACAAATCAATCCCCAGCCGCACCATCACTTCAACCACCACCACCACAAGCACCTGATTTACCACAAGCACGAGCACCTGATCCAGCAACAATCACTTCACCACAGCTGGCCACACCAACTCCACCACCACCACCACCTCACACTCCAACAGCCCCACCAGCGGCTACTCAACCTGCTTCAGCATCCATCACCACACCCGCACAGCCTCCGCCACCACACCACATACCACGCACTACCAAGCCAACACCATCCATTGCACCCACACTTAGCACTACAAGAGGCATTTGGCGCGACCCAGATCGCTCACCACCACGCACACCTGAACATCACCGCTACTCAGCCTTTCCAGCCGTTCCCACCATTGCACCATCACAAGCTACATCCAGATCCAGGAGCCGCACTCGTTCACTACGCACTACACGCTCTCCACTACCACGACGTCGAAGCTCCGCCACACAATCCGTGGCTAGTTCTCAACCACAATCCAAGCCTGCAGACAGACAAACATCACCATCACCAGCAATCACCCAGGACAATGCTCACACTCCCAGACAAAACATCACTGCCGCTACCACTACAAAACACACTCCAGAGTCAACTCACCGTACTTCCAGCATCACACTCAAACCCAACCCACAGTTCACACCCAAACATTCCACAAAACAGACACGTACACCGCCACCACCAGCACCATTACCTACAGTTCCAGTACAACGTCGACCTCACAACTTGCCTCCTCCAAAATTCCAACCACCCACTGATCCAGCGCAATTGGATGTCTTCCAATGGCTCAACCACTACGCACAAGCACTTGATGTCAAAAATGAACCCATGATTTCCTACGTAGCCAAGGTACGTAGTGCAGCTCATCTCAACAGCACCCACTTTACCGACCTACAACTTCTCACACACACAAAATGGAGCGACGACAGCAACAAAGAAGAACATTACTCATTCCTATTACTCACAATCCCCACATTAGCGAGCAGGGGCGACGCCCCGATCCTTCCTCCTACACGGAGAGAGGCGCTGAACATACCACCTATAAAGCACATTTTTGCGGCACACGTTAGTGAGGAGGGCAACATCATTTCAATACTTGAAGCAGGAGAAATCGTGCGATCCATTCTACATGATGATCACAACGTGGGCTATTTTTGTCAGGCGTTCGAACTGTCGAACTATGAGCCCCATGATGCTGCTGAAGCTGCACGCGTCCTCTTCAATGCTTCCAATATGGCCAAGAACCGTAGCGGCCTCATTTTGACGATCAAAGCCTATGGACACGGCCAGAAAGTCACTCATGGTGGCGAATCCGCAGCGAACGACTTGCTGCTCAGAGGAGAGGGGATTGTAAAATACACCCCAGGAAAATGCTGGGTGGCACATCCCAAACATTCCAGAATAGAAGGGATAGCCTGGAAAAGCGATGCAAAGCCACCGCTTAGTTTCATTTAATTCAACCTATTCAGCTCACGAGGTTCTTTTTCACCCCATATCCCGGATGACGACCTAGCCTCAAACAATCTCAGCCGGCTTGCCTGGTTTTGATATTGATTTTGGTTTTTTTCTAACTCTTCGATGCCAACTTCCTTTTCTTCCAATATCTTATTTCTGTGCAGCTTGATGCCGACAACATGATCTTCTTCGCGACCACTATCGTTCCAATTTTCCAGACTTACAGCATGTCAGCCTTCCTGGTTGGTTTTAAGCATTTCGAAGAGAGTCCGCAAGATTTTCCTGCTTTGCATTCTGCCCCGCAGCCATTTTGTATTATCTTGAATATTGAGCTCGATCCCTGACAACCGCCCGCGCTATATTTGCTCTACGACGAGTATCACGACGATGACTTCACCTATGGACACAGCATTTGCACATCGACTCCTTCTGGCACACCTTCAAGCAGCCACATCCATTGCCACCACTTTTCAAAACCTACCACTTTGTACACCGCAACCACCACAGCATGCACACCACCAACCCATTACCACTCCACCTTCTTCCCCAAGACCAACCAGACGCACTCCTCCACCACCGCAGCCACAGCCATCTCATTCACGCAGTCGCAGTCCACCTCCCACCACAGGCAAACCTTTCAAGGAGTGCAAACCAGAACCTTCTCCCTCACACACGCCCACTTCACCACATCAGCATTCACCACACCACCACAAGCCCAAAGCGACTCACCATCGCCTTCCTCAGAAGAACAATACAGAACCCATGCCACCACATACACCACCGATCACAACGATTTCCCTCACCAGCTCGCCCAATTCGCCTCCACAACCAGTACCCACTCCACAACCAGTACCATCAACAAAACCAGCACAAATCCTCACGGAGTCACCTCCTTATCCTGATAATGGAGGCTGGGAACCCAGCGAAGATGAAAAACTGGCGGCCTTCAAACTCAACAAGCGAGCTCGCCCCAGTTGGAAGTACTTGAGGCCAAGGGGGGGGGCGAAAGCTAGCGCTCCAGAATGGGAAAGTGGAGGGCAGCGAGGTAGGAAAAAACACGGCGCTCTTTTTGGAGGCAGGGGTGAAGAACCCTTTATATGTGGCTCTTTGCCCGGATCCTCCTGCGAGAGAAGAGAGAGAAGAGAGACGGAAAGACGAGAGACAGAGAGGAGAGAGAGAGAGAGAGGAGAGAGAGATGAGAGAGATGAGAAAGAGATGAGAGAGATGAGAGAGATGAGAGAGATGAGAGAGATGAGAGAGACAGTGAGACAGTGAGACAGTGAGAGTGAGAGTGAGCGAGTGCGGCCGCAAGATACGCAACGCTAACCGCATGGCATGCCAAAGAGCGACGACAGGACGGAGTCGAACTTGCAAAGAGGGAGGAGGGAGGGAGGGAAGATGGGAGGAAGACAAGGAGGAGGAGAGGGGGGGAGGTGGGGAGAGGGGAGGTGGGGAGAGGGGAGGTGGGGGGGCTTCGACCTGAAAAATCAGGGGTTAGGATTTGCACCCGGTCGAAAGAAACCTTGCTATCGCAAGAGTAACTCCAGCTAGCTTCGCTAGCTTTCGTGACATAGCCAAAGCACTCAACAAAACACCTTTTGATTGCAAAGGTCGAT